GAAAAAAGGATACTAAAGAAAAAAGTGCAAAATACAAGTTATTTTAGAATTAATGGTGAGCAGGATTTCATTAATTACTGCAAGATTTAAATGTAGGACTGTGAATTTGCTTATATTCTTTTGATATTAAATAGGAATAATATAGGATACTACCTAAGAGAAATAATAAAAATGAAGCTTTCGCCAAGTGAAGGTTCAGACTTCCTGCAAGTGGATGAGATTTTAAAAACACGAAACATCTACTATCACTTGAGTTTACCAAGTATATTCAACCACATTACCTGGAGAATAATGCATATCCATAGCCACTATATTTTCCATTATTAATCAACACTAAAAATGGAAGCAATGTTGATTGCTATTATGGGAGTAATGAGTTGGATTAAACTGAAGTAAAAATCAGTCCTACAGAATGCTAATACAAGTGGCCTTGGATTTCTATTTGTTACCTATATATCAAGGTCTTTGACCTGAAAATCCCTAAATGTCTCACTGAACTTACATTCTGTTTCAGATACTATAACAGGGTAGTATGTGGCAATTCATACTTCCAAATGTGGTAACCAACCACACACAAGAGCTGCCACTTGTAGCAAGTGAGCACACAAACATTCTTACATTTATGATATAATTAAGGCTATGTGGATACAGATACGTAGACTATGAGCAAACTGCTCATAACTTATGACTACACTTCCTCAATAAACAATGTTTAATGAAAATAGCACCTTAAATTATCCATTATCCATGTTAGCTCAAAGCAACAATGAGATACCATCTCACCCAAGCAATAATAGCAAAGTTCAACAAGACAGAATATAACAAGTGCTCTGGTGGCATACTGCTTAGGCATTTGACTGCTAACCACAAGATTTGCAGTTCAAACCCACCAGCCACTCCTCAGAAGGAAGACTGTGCAATCTGCTTCCATGGAGATACCACCATGGAAACCCAAGGAGGGGTCACTATGAGTCGAATTGACTTGATGGCACTGAGTGAGTGAGTGAGTGAGAATGGGGAGGGAATGAGACTCTCATACATTGCTGGTAAGACTGTAATATGATACAACCACTGTGGAAATTGGTATGGCGATTCCTTAAAAAGTTGGAAACAAAAATACCATTTGATCCAGCAATCCCATTTCTAGGTATATATCCTAAAGAAGTGAGAAGCAGAACAGGAATAGATATATGGACACCCACGCTCATCGCAGCATGATTCACAGTAGCAAAGAGATAGAAACAACCTGGGTGCCCAACAACAGTGGAATGGATAACCAAACTACAAGACATACACACAATGGAATACTATGTAACACTAAAGAATAATGTAGAATCCATGCAACACCCCATAACATGGATGAACTTGGAGGATGTTATGCTAAGTGGTATCAGTCAATCACAGAAGGACAAATATTGTATTAGTTCACTATTGTAAAAAGTCAAGAAGAAAAGGTTTACATATAGAAGGAAATTTTCTTTGTTGGTTATCAGGGATGGCAGAATTGGGAGGGAAAACTGCTAGATAGGTAAGAGAAAAGTACTGATTTAGGTGAAAGGAAAGGCAATAAACTAAAAGTAAGTGACAAACACAATAACACTTAGGAAAAGAAAGACATAGAGAGGTGCAAAAGAGGTACGGACAACAAAGATAAACACTTATGTACACAACACTGCATTATCAGTAATAGTATTAATCTATGGGTGGATACATAGGTAGACAGGCTAATGATCACGTATGTCTGGGCAAGAGGGAATATACCCATGACCATATATAAGTTTGACAAATGATATTTCTATGTACATATTTGTATGTGCTATAGGTATGTCCATATGTCCATATATGTATGTGTGTGTGTGTGTGTGTGTGTATGAGCTAATAAGGCAAAGTTATAATAACTTCTTATCCATAGCCAAACACCCTGAGGGAGTGAGTCACTGGGCCCATTGGCTTGGGCCTATGGTCACGTGGGACATCAAGCTCAATTGGCATAACACACTAAACAAAAATATTTTTCTATATTCTACTTTGGTGAGTAGAAACTAGGGTCTTAAAACCTTGTAAGTAGCCATGTAACATGCAACAATTGATCTCTCCTCATCCAGAGCAAAGAAAAATGAAGAAAACCAAACATACCTGGAAACAATTAGTCCAAGGGACTAGAGAACCATGTGAACCTCAGCCTACATGAACCTGAGACCAGAAATACTAGATGGTGTCTGGCTACTACTGTCAACTACTTGGAAAGGGATCAGTGCAAGAGATCCTGGATAAAGTGGGAGAAACATGTAGAACAAAACTCAAAATTATAAAAAAGACTAGGATTACTGATTTGATAGAGACTGGTAAAATCCCTGAGAGTATGGCCCCCAGCTAAGGGAGACCATGAAGTAAGCCAGAGGTGGTTTGGAACAGTTAAGAGAAACCAGAAAGCAATCTGGTGGCAGTTTGGAACAGCTAAGGGAGACTAGGAAGCAAGCTGGAGGCAGTTTGGAACAACTAAGGAAGATCAGGAAGTAAGTGGAGAAGTTTGGAACAGCTAAGGATGACTAACACATCTGTCCGTTTGTTGTACTGAGGTGGCTTGTATGTTGCTGTGAGGCTGGAGGCTATGCCACCAGTGTTACAAATGCCAGCAGGGTCACCCATGGTGGACAGGTTTCAGTGGAGCTTCCAGAGTAAGATAGACTTGGAAGAAGGCAGAGACCATCCACTTCTCAAAGAACTGGCCACTGAAAACCTTATGAATAGCAATGGAACTCTGTCAGATATATTACTGGAAAACTTCATGAACAGCTGTAAAACACTGTCTGATATAGTGCCAGAAGATGAGCCCCTCAGGTCGGAGGGCACTCAATATATGACTGGGGAAGAGCTGCCTCCTCACAGTAGAGCTATCCTTAATGATGTAGATAGAGTAAAGCTTTCGGGACCTCCATTTGCTGACATGGCATGACTCAAAATGAAAAGAAAGAGCTGCAAAAATCCTTTAATAATTGGAACGTAGAATGTGTGAAGTATGAACCTAGGAAAATTAAGAGTTGTAAAAAATGAAATGGAACGTGTAAAAAAAATGACAGCCAAGGAATTAGTGAGCTGAAATGGACTGGTTTTGGCCATTTTGAATCAGATGATCATGTGATCTACTATGCTGGGAATGACAAATTGAAGAGGAATGGCATGGCATTTATCATCACAAAGAATGTTTCAAGATCTATCTTGAAGTACAATGCTGTCAGTGACAGGAAAATATCCATATGCCTACAAGGAAGACCAGTTAGTATCGTAGTGCCTAAGGCATTTGACTGCTAACAAGAAGGCTGGTGATTCAAACCCACCTGCCACTCCTCAGAAGGAAGGTTGGGCAATCTACTTCTGTAGTTATACTACCTTAGAAACCCAACGAGGGGGTCACTATAAGTCTGGTCCGACCAGTTCATAACAACAACAACAACATTATTCAAATTTACGCACCAACCATCAAAGCCAAAGATGATGAAATTGAAGATTTTTACCAACTTCTGTAGTCTGAAATTGACCAAACATGCAATCAAGATATGTTAATTTTCACTGATGAATGGAATGCAAAAGTTGGAAACAAAGAAGAATCACTGGTATTTGAAAAGTTGGAAAATATGACTTTGGTGATAGAAATAACACTGGAGATTGCATGATAGAATTTTGCAAGACCAACAACTTAATCATTGCAAATACCATTTTCCAACAACACAAACAGCAGCTATATATGGGGACTTTGCCAGATGGAGTACACAGGAATCAGATCAACTACATCTGTGCCAAGAGGTGATGGAGAAGCTCAGTATCTTCAGCCAAAAAAAGGCCAGGAGATGACTGCAGAACAGACCATCAACTGCTCATATGCAAGTTCAAGTTGAAGTTGAAGACAATTAAAACAAGTCCATGAAAGCCAAAACATGACCCTGATTATATAGACCAAACTCACTCTCATCGAGAGTATATACCTTCAATTTTAGCAACCTTTCTTGGGTTTCCTAGGCAGTATCACTACGGAAGTAGATTGCCCAATCTTCCTTCTGAGGAATGGCTGGTGGGTTTGAACCACCAGTCTTC